AACGTAGTGTGAAATAAAATCAGTGATTGTTTTCCATATAAATTTGTGTTTTTGTATTATACGTAAGGGTTATCAACTGAGACAGAGGGGTTCAAATTAGATGAACACCCAAGCTCGTGCAGAGTTGTACGCACAACGTTCGAAGTGTTCAATTGCGCGAGTTCGGGTGTTCATCCAACTTGACCCCGAGGTCAAGGTCGATAACTCACTTAGTCACAGCTTAATATTGAAAGAGATTTTCCACGTTACAGGCGCCTGTGCTCCTATACGTTTACGTTTATACTCTTTTGCATGATATTTTTCCTGGGTTTATCATCTAGTAGTAACTACAGCATACTCCTCGCAGTGTTTCGTTTGATTAGACCTAATCCTACTTAACACTGCTGTTGCTGTAATGGAAGCAAATTTCTGTTCCAAATTATGACTGGTCAATAGTCTGATTAAGAACCAATAGCGAACTGCTTAACAATATCAGTACGCTTTAAACAGAGCTCCAAATTAGACCAAATATGTTTACATAACGTTACGTCATGACTCACGATTTTATTACGCCCAATTACCCAGTGCATAGCAGAATATTGCAGAAAAACTAATTGGCGTGACAAACGAGGCTATAAAAACGTATACAATGCAAACAATACTGTTTGGGGACGAACAATACTTTCACCGTTTTTAATACCTTAAATCACTGTCCAAAGTTTTAGGGAAGACCCCAGATTAAACGAAGGGCTGTCATGTTGCTGTACTTGGGATAGATTTGATTGAACGGGAAGAATAGACATACTCCCTCAAAAGCTCAAGTGTCAGAAGCCAATCCAGCAATGGCCAGAGAGGGTTTCTCGGGCCATTGCTTCAGGAATATGTAAGTACATGGGGACTGCACCACACACAAGCAATTACACAAGACAAATTTACGGACTAGACATAATACGCATAAATCACAAAGAAACGTAGCCTACTTTTCATATCAAGTGAATGGTTCCGGGGGCTAGCCGTAAGCGTCCACTGCGCTGTGCAATCCTGGGCCCTGTTTCACAAAAAATTAAATCTCCTTAAAATCGTCTTAAACTTAAATTTCAACCTAACTTAAAGGAGCTAAATCGCTAATATTTTAAACCTAGAAATTGACACAAATGGGTCGCAACGCATAAAATAATGTAATATGAATGTATTTAAACTGATTTACATTCAATCGTTTCCGTTTACACTCTAATTTCAAATCAGTTATGTTCCGCGAAATACGTCAGAAGCCTCAATCGAATGGCAATCTCTAGGGTCTGGTTATTCCAGTCTACACCGATAGCATTTATTGCGCATGCTCTCCAGATAAGATATGGTGTCACTATTTTACAATATTCCAATTAATTGATGATACAAATTTCATCTTAACACACCTAATTTAAAAAAAATTGGAAAAATTCAACTAAATGATTTGAAAAGACTGACGTAAAGCTTTTCAAATGTGACTTGGATTTAAAAATATTTTTGAACCCCCTTGACAAGTAAAATAGGATTTAATGGATAATTTACACAACAGGTAAGACACTAACACATCTAGTACTTAGAATAAGGCTATTTTTTATTTTCTTGAGCTGTCAAGCCAGCAAGAGTGTTATTGTCCCTTTGAATATTGGATATCAGAAGCCCATCTTTTACCGGTAAGATCACAACATCAATGTTGATTTAAATTGACAAATAATTTCGTGTTTTCAATGTCGAAAATTTTGGATGATACGGAGTTAGAGACTTAGCTACTTTAAGATAGATGAGTTTCAAAAAACGATTTTAAGCATTTAAGATAAAATCCACTAAAATAATATTTTAACTTAAAGTAGTTGCGTTTCACAAAACTATTTTAGGGACAATTTTAACTAAACTTAATTTTAGATATTAACCTAAACATAATTTTAGATATTAACCTGAACTTAATTTTAGATATTAACCTCAACATAAATTTTCACGATACTAACTTGAATTTTCATGATAGTAACCTGAATTTTCAAGACACTAACTTGAACTTTCAAGACACTAACTTCAATTTTCAAGATACAAAACTTACATTTTCAAGTTATTTACTTGAAGCGGAAGGCTCCCGATGTTTTTCATGTGAAAACGAAAAAAATTTTGGGACTAAAATTCTCCTATATGGAAAATCTATTTGTGGACCATTGATATCAAAACTCAACCACAATTCATCAATCTAAATGTTAAAAAGATTTTCATAACAAGACGAGTTTAACTATTATGTACATGTATGTGGGATTGTCCATAACCAGCAGCCATTTCCTGTAGTAGGCAAAGGGCATACATGGGGACATAGTATAATTTAAGATGTGTGGATAAAAATGTTAATAACAAAACCTAGTCTTTTGCAAAATTTGGAAAATGGCAGATCACTAAACTATATTTCAAGAACTAATCTAGGTATCACTAGGGAAATATCATCGGTGGTATGAAAATAAACAAATTTTCTCCCGATGGCTTCCAATGTTTTTGCCCCCCCCCCACCAAAAAACATGAAAAGTTTTCAATTTACTTTTTTTTTTTTCATTTCAGTTTCTGATTTACATTTACTTTGTTTTTCCAATATGGTTTAATTTTCTGGCTAGTTTTTATTTTCATTCTTTTTTTCTTTTTTTTTTTACAAAATTCTCTATAACCATGGGTCAAATATATCAACAATTATGCCACAATATAATATGCCAAATTATTACTACCTGTGATTACTCCACGCCAAGGTGTATCAGTTTCTGCCACATGTTTGGTTTACATCAAATGCAGAAATTTAGGAAAACCTCCATAAGTGTATTTACAATACTTAAAGATACAGTCCCACAAAAATATTTGTTGTTATTTCCTATAGAAGTAAGGCAATTTTGGTATATGGAAGACAGAGGCACTCAATCAACTAGAAAAATATTGGATGCCCTGAAAAACACCCCATGGGGCTTTCACATGGCAAAAATGTAACCTTGTTGAGTGTCCTTAACAGATAGCCTGTCTCCTGGAGTGTTGTAAGGAGCGCTTAATATGTATTGATCTAATGGTTTACAGTTGTGAGAATATTAAACGTCCAGTACTCTACGATTAAACGACAGAAAAGGAAGTTGGCAGAAGATAATCCAAGAATTTATTTAGGCTTCGATATTTATGGTAAATGGACAGCAACTAAATAATGTCCAGTATAAGCCGAAATGCCCCCCCCCCACCACCACCCAATTAAGTCACGTGACCAACAAGATTGGTTAAAATAGATTGGGGTACTTTCCTTCTGATTAAAATGTTTAGAGAGGGATTGAAGAAAACTTTTGATAGATAAATTAACTGAACATCTTAGTGAGAAAATAAGACCTTTCCAATGGATGGTGTGTGAATCCCCAAAATGGTCCCAGATTCACCGATATATGGGATGGGCAAAGAAATTGAAGAACATAGTATAGGGTTTCTGTCAGGACTGTTCTGGCGTAAATAATAAATAATACCATAAGGTTAAGTAGAGCTCCATATAATCCTAAGCCATTGACCTACCTTAGCCTACAAAAACATATCCAAGGGGCACACTGCACCTGAATAGCTTGATCAGCTACCGAAGTCGCTTCTTGTAAGAGGTAACATTTTCTGAGAGAAGTTTTATTATGTTGAAAAAAAATATACAAGCAAAATTGAAATTGGTAACTGATGTGGTAGGCACACCAGACTAACAATGATTTTTATATAACTTCAGTTAGGCGCCCTGCAAATATTGCACACCATAATACAACTTAAAGGTGTTATATATATCACATTTAGAGAGCAAATTATGTATCTCAGAAGGTAGGTAGGTTGGAACCTTGTCTTTGTTAAGAACATTAAAGATGGGTTGTCAGGCAACGAAAAATACAGCAGCTAAGTCATCAAGCAGCCAAGAATTAAGGGTTGTCACATATTTTTTCTTTTGCCAGTAATGAAAACATTTACAAGACACTAAAATCTGATAATGAGTAACAACTCATCAAGTAATTATCAGAAATAATTAGAATTTGTTTGGCTTCTAATAGTTCTGTCCTACACAAACATTTACTATACAAAACATTTTATATCAAGGGCCATAACTCTGGAAGCAATCAGAGCGTTAACAAGATTCTTCAAAGTGATCAAGGGCCATAATTCTGGCAATGATTATTGAAAATCATTGAAAATCAATAGGCTTCGTCATCTCATGATCTGAAACATTGTGTATGAATCTAAAGTCATTCGGATTTTAACTTTATTGTCTAGAGCGCCAACAAAATTTCTCAAAGTGATCAAGGGCCATAATTCTGGCATTAATTATCGGAAATTGTTGAAGATCAAAAGGCTTCTTCGTCTCATGACCCGAAACACTGTATATGAATTCAAAGTCATTCAGATTTTAACTTGAGCCTCTATAGCATCCACAAGAATTTTCAAAATGATCAAGGGCCATACCTGGCAGTAATTATCGGAAATTGTTGAAAAGCAATAGGTTTCTTCATCTCATGACCATTAACACTGTGTATAAATTTGAAGTCAATCGGGTATTAACATCAGCCTCTAGAGCGTCCACAATATTTTTCAAAGTGATCAAGGGCCACAATTCTGACAGTAATTATCGTGACCTTAAACACTGTGTATAAATTTAAAATCAATAGGATATTAAGTTTGGCCACCAGTGCGTCCGCAAGCAATTGTGGACGGGCGATGGCAATATACGACCACGCTTTTAAATGTGTGTGGGCGTATAAAAATTGTAAGAGTTATCTCCCTCCAATTTAAACATTAAATCTTTTGAAGAAACTAACATCAGAATCTGTTCAACCCCCAGGTTTGCTGTATAGAACATACAGTGAATATACGAATTGAACAAAAAAAGTTGCTAGATTCTGTAATTTCTCCCGAGTGAGTTTAAAATTCTACATTCCTCAATACGATTTGATTTTATTTGCATGATTTCTTATGATTATTGGAGCATTTATAAAACTCCACAGCTTATAGACAACAAATTTTACATATTTCAATATTTTATTCATCATTATGTGTTTGCTATTTGCATTGCACACAACCCTTCATGAAATAAAGTTGAGTTTGTATTCTTGACATTAAGAGAAGCAACAAGAAAATAGTTCTAGCTACTTACTCTCTAGTCATCACCACATCCATAAAAAATAAATCATAAGCTCTGGTCGCAATTCTAATTTACATACTTCATAATAAGTCTATAAATAAATCAAACTCTTTACGATGACATAGTTTAACATACAAATTAATAGCACTATATAAACACAGAAGTATAAACAGAAAAATATAGTAATAGGACCTAACCTAATCCATGTAGACTGGAAAATATCAGTTCATGTCAATTAAGACAATAAATTATAAAGATAAATTTATTTGAATTTCACTGATTTCAATTTTCCCAGTGCTTCACTTACATGTATGTCTATCTGCAAATTAAATATTTTTAAACATAAAAAATATTTTTTTTGCAATAATTTCTTTCCCAAAACATAAGCAATCACACACAAAATCAGGAAAATATTTATATTTGTGAAAATAAATATGATCAGATTAACAAGTACATGTAGTTATATACATTTCCTTAGAAATATAAAATAAAGATAATATAGGTTGCCAGGCAAGTACATATTATGCCCAGGGCAGCTAAGTCATCCAAGCAGTCAACAAGGGTTTGTAGCATATTTTTTCTTTTGTCGATAATGAAAAGATTTACAACACACTAGTAGAAAATGATTAAGAGTAATATCCCATTAAGTAATTATCAGAAATTATTAGAATTTGTCTGGCTTCTAGTTCTGCCCCATACTAACGTTAATTATACAAAACAAGTAATATCATGAACTTAGGTTTTCTATTTATTAAATATCGTTGAAAATCAAGAACCATAATGCTGGCTATATTTATTAGAAACCATGGAAAATCAACAGGCTTCGTTGTTCCATGACCTTAAACACTGCAAATAAATTTAAAGTCAATCGGATAATAAATTTGGTCTCTGGAGCGTCTACAAAATTTTCAAAGTGATCAAGGTCCATAACTCCAGCAGAATTATCTGAAATCATTGAAAATCTATAGGCTTTGTTGTCTCATGACCTTAAACATTGGTCTGGAGAGTGCCCACAAGATTTTTCTAACCAAGTGATCAAGAGCAATAATGCTGAAAATCAACAGACATATTCATTTCTCATGACTTAAAAAGTTAAACACTGTGTATAATATTAAAGTCAATTGGATAACCGTAAACACTGTGTTTAATATTAAAGTCAAAGTGATCAAGGGCTTTAACTCTGGCAGTAATTACTGGAAATCGTTGAAAATCAACAGGTTTCCTCGTTTCATGACCTTGACCAATATGTATAAATTTGAAGTCCATCGGATGTTAACATTAGCCTTCACAATGTGCACAAGAGTTTTTAAAGTCATCAAAGGGCATAACTCTGTCACTAATTATCGGAGATCACTGAAAACTATTAACTTTCATCGTCTTATAACCTTAACTGATGTGTATGAATTTGAAGTCAATCAGATACTAACTTTAGCCTCTAGGCTAAAACTCTGCAGAAATTATAGAAAATCAATAGGCTTCCTTGTCTAATGACCGTAACCAATATGTATAAATTTGAAGTCAATCAGATGATAACTAGCCTTCATAGTGTCCACAACAGTTTTGAAAGTGATCAAGGGGCATATCTCTGGCAGTAATTATCGGAAATCACTGAAAATCAATAGACTTCTCCGTCTCATGACTTTAAACACTGTGTATAAATTTAAAGTCAATTGTATCTTGAGTATCCACAAGCAATTGTGGCTGCCCCACCCCGGGAGGGGGGGGGGGAGAGAGAGAGAAGAGGTCCACTCGACACAAACTACATGTAGGTCATTTCGGGATTAACACATGGTTCAATTTTATTTCAATAATTCCATTGCGTGTAGGGGTCTTTCAGCAGGGGAAGGACCGGCGACCCTACTCCTTGTCACTTACAACCAGGGAAGTGAAACCATGGCAGTTGACTCAATTACAGACCTTACGATAAAATGCGCACACGCTAACTATTCAGCCATCCTACCCCCCACCCATGGATGGACAGTCAGGGTGACAACAATCACTTTTCAATGTTGGGGTATAAAAATAATGTTAATAATTCAGAAAAGATATATAAAAAAATCAATTATATTGTGTTCACAATAAATAGATAAGACATGTAATTAATTGCAAAAATTTATCTTTATGTGTACTTAGCCAAGGCATAAAATGATCATGATCGAACTTAAGTCACGGTATTGATGTAGTGAAACTATACACTAAGTTTCTTCACTCTTCCTAAAATAGAATCAAAGTTATCGTGTCCAAAAGTCTCATCCAATCAAATTGCTTATCTCTGCTTAGACTAAGCAGAAAATGTTCATCTTCAAACCCAGTCCAGACATTCATCTAATAAATACCTACCCCAAGTTTGAACATTTTAGTGTGTCCCAAAAAGTGTGACTGACCGACAGACCCATTTTAATTGTCCCCTGTAATATTAATGAAAGCTAATTGAACAAAAGTTATGTACAATAATATTTGAAACAAACAGAGCCTTGTGAACTCCAAAGGAAAAGCACTGAAAACATATAACTTTCATACAAAATTAATAAATCTATGGTTTTTCATTTAATCAACCTGAGAATAAAATAAAGCTTAGTATGGAAATATCAAGAAGATAAATTATTTCTAGAAAAAACCTGATATTACAGGAAATTGATCTTGGCAAGAATAATAACATATCTGTTGTTGGAATGGAATGGAATGTAAAATTTTACTACATGTATTTCAAAAAGCAGGCAAAGTTGTTATATAGAGGCTGTTTTTTTATGTATGCACATATATCATACCATTCTTTTAATTAATGCTTGTATAATGATAGGCTTAGATGCTGAAAAACACCATAAAAGATAGGCTGCCAGGCTATGTTGTCCGGGCAGTCAACAAGGGTTGTCACATATTTTTTCTTTGTCAGTAATCAAAACATTTAAAACAAACTAAAATCTGATTACGAGTACCGGAAATAACCCATTAAGTCATAATCAGAAATCATTAAACACTGTGTATGAATTTGAAGTCAATCGGATGTTAACTTTATCTTCTAGAGTGTTCACAAGATTTCTCAAAGTGATCAAGTTCCATAACTCTGGCAGTATTTATCAGAAACCTTAAACACCGTGTATTAATTTAATGTGAATCGAATACCGACTTTAACAATTGTGGATGCCGGTTTGACGGACAAATGGGGGTGATGACAATATACAACCACATTTCAATGTGGTCGTATAAAAAGGGTATGTACTCATGTCAATCATAAAGCCCATAACGCTGTTTGGCGCTACTCGATAAACTGATATGAAATAAGGTTTAACATAATACTTTCCTGTTCCATTCATGCTAATCAAGACAGGCATACGCCATGCAATGTGCCATGAGGGAAATTTGGCCCGGACAACAACACTACAGCCTACTCTTACATGTATTTCAAATTACAACTGTCAAAGGCCCTTTGTCCTGCACCACTGACAAGGGTGAAACCACACAGGAATATCTTAAGGAACTTTGTCGGCCAACACCGAGATTAAAGCTGGGACATCCTGGTTGAGCCACCATCTTAATCAAATATGCAAAAGAAGAGAACATTCAAAACTAATTCTAAACCATTCCTCACATTAGTGACAGCCTCACGCTATGAGTTTGAGAACCTATTAGCTATACAGTTGGCAATTTCTTATTTTGAAATCAAAAGAAAATTACCACATCATATTTATATTTTTTAATTATACTGCTGAAAAAAAGGGGGCTCTCTCTCTTGTAGACTTTTAAAAACAATTCCCCACTAACAGAAATTTTTTTGGATGTGGCCTTAATTCTAAAAAGTAGATGTTGTGAATACTTTCACAATAATTTAACAATGACAACCATCCAATGGGTACAATAATATTTCTAAAGGCCTGTCTGTGCACAACAAAGTCTATTTGTTGTGATTTTCATCAGACAAATAATCATTGCTCTGTTTTAAAATTGTACAACCCAACAGTTGTCCCTCTTGTTTCTTCATACCTTCATGCTACATCATACATTTACAGGTTCACTACTTGCCAGTAACTAATCCTCCAGGATTATGCTATATGAGGGTCATAATTAATAATAGAGCTATAATCAAAATGCACGATTTTATAATGGAGATTGTTTGTAAAAGCCCGAGGAGATCATGTTTAATTTTGTATAGATCAATCATTGTTTGGGTGAACACTTAAAGTAACTTGCATGATTTTAATTAATCCATTGAGCTATTATGTACTCAGATTGATTATTTAACAGTTAATTAAGAAAACAAAATAGCCTAAGTAGATTGCAAAATGGTGGAAAGATAAACTTCAATTGTTGACCTGTGTTGTTGACCGAGTCTGTCAAGGAAAAACAAGTGAGAAGAGAGAAAACTTAACATGTACCATTTACATAGTGGGCAGCGATGGCATTTCTGTTCATCATATCTTTGTAGGTACTGAACCATTTTCTGACTGATAGTCCCGTTCGAGATTAACATTTTACAACACTGTAGTTTGCAAGGGATTTTTACATCGTATTTTGCAAGGGATTCCTACATTACTCTAATCATGACCAGAGGCTCTAAAAAGATATTACCATGTAATAATAATAATAGTGATGTGGATTTCTTGTATATGTTAATATCACTGCTGTCTTTAAAAAAAAATAACCCAAAACCCCCCAAAAAAACAAAAAAACTTCTGTCTAAACATGTGACTGTTCTGGGCTGTCGACGACAAATAATCCATGGTACACACAGGCCTTAAATGTGAATATGGGGCTATATGAAGTTATACATGTATAACATTACTTGAACAGCATTGTAAACGTGTATTAGTAATTACTGCATCAAAAAAAAAATAGAGTGAAAAATCACAGGTACATTTATACAAGTTTTAAACCCACACACCATTAGGGTTTTTAGTAGAGAGAGAGTTTATAAAGACTTGAGGCGTGTTGAGCTTGCTGGAAGTAGTACCAGGCCTTGGTGATAGTCTACCTTCCAATATCTTGAGAATGGCTGAAATACAGAATAATTTTAATAGAAAGTTACACTAAAAGATTGTGCTCTTTGAGGGTGATTAAGACAGCACACCAAATGTGGAATACGCTTTTATAACAGATAGGTTGCAAGGCATTGAAACATACACCCACAGCAGCTAAGTTGTCCTGGCAGTCAACCAGGGTTGTCGCATATTTTTTCTTTTGTCGGTAATGACAAGATTTACAACACACTAGTAGAAACTGATTAAGAGTAACATCCCATTAAGTAATTATCAGAAATCATTAGAATTTGTTTGGCTTCTAGTCCTGCCACATGCTAACGTTATGCAAAACATTTAATATCATGAATTTAAGTAATTTAACTAATCAACTAGGTGGAAAAGGTGATTTTGAGATTATGATTTACATTTGATTTTATTAGTTTTTGAAGTAGATCTCATCATTCTTCTCACAAAACTTTTTACAGATTCAAAATCGAATGAAAGTTTTTTTTTTATGGAGGCTCAAAGTTGCGATTTTTGACTTGAAAAAGTCATTTTTGGTGTTTTTTGCAATGCCATATTTCATATCGAAACTATCAAAAATATAGATGTAAATTCAAGAAATACAACTTTAAGGCTAATTATGTTTCAATTTTCACATTTGTGTAACAATTACTCCGATTTCCCCAGCAACTCCAAAATACATAGGTTTTCTCAAAAATTCCATGTTGTCAAAGTGATTTTGGTCAAGTTTTTCCATCAAAAATGGTCTTGTCCATCTTATATCTGAAATATTGAACCTGGTTGTTATGCATTTTCAAGTCAGTAGCTATCAAGTAAGATAAACAGAAAAAAATATAGTAAAAATATCTATATGCCTTCTTTCAAGAGCTGAATATCTGTTCAATTTTGAACAATTTTCCGCGGCACACAATTGCCTATTTTTGGGGCGTTTTTGGGACATTAGTATAATAGTAAAATAAGAAGGAATGGAGACACACAAGTGAAATTATGGGACCGAATATGTCAAAAAGTGCGTGAATTTTTAAAATTACATATTTTTAATCCGCCATATATTATCAATTTTGGTTGTCATAGCAACCAAAATGGAAAAAATGCAATTTTGGACCATTTTCAACGCTGTTTACCATGACCCAAAAGGTGATCACCACATTTAAAAATAAGCATTTTAAAATATTTGAAACCCATGTAATGTCAAATGATATGGATTGTATAAGTTTGAGCAAAATATAGCCCATGATTACTATACCAACTTTACGGCAAGTTCACACTATACACTAAGTTTCATCACTCTCTATTAGATAGAATCAAGATTATCTTGTCCCAAAGCATTGACCAATAAAATTGATTAGCTCTGCTTAGCTTCAGCTCGAAATGTTAATCATTGAATTCAGTCAAGACATTCACCTAATAAATGTTCTACCTCAATTAAAAGCAGAGTTGTTATGTTCCAAAGTCTTGACCAATCAAATTGCTTGTCACTCAATAGACTAAGCAGAAAATTCTCACCATCGAAATTAGTGAAGGTAATGATATAATGAATCTATATTCGGTGTTCCATCGCTCTCACTTCATTATAACCAAAGTTATCGTGTCTCAAAGCATCAACCAATCAGATTGCTTATTTCTGCTTACCGTAAGCAGACAATGTTCATCATAGAACTCCATCAAGGCATTCACCTAATAGACACCTATGTCAAGTGTGAACATTCTAACTCAATTAGAATGAGAGTTATTGTGTTCCAAAGTCTCGACCAATCAAATTGTTTATCGCTCTGCTTAACCTGAGCAGGAAATGCTCATTATCAAACTTAGTCAAGGTATTGATGTAATGAAACTATACACCAAGTTTCATCACTCTCATTTCATTAGAACTAAAGTTATCGTGTCCAAAAGCATCAACCAATCAAATTGCTTATCTCTGCTTACCCTTAGCAGAAAATTCTCATCTTCGAACTCCATCAAGGACATGAATATTAAATACACCTGATGTTTGGTGAGTGATTAAAGTGTCAATGCAATTGTAAAATACTTTTATTATAAACAGGGCTTGCCACGAGCAAATTGGAGGCGAGTAGATGACTACTCACGCAAATATAGACTTGCGCGAGTGAGGCGAGTACATGTATTTACTCACGCAGAATAATGTGCGTGAGTAGCCATTTAAATTTCATGTGCCTAATGGCAATGCTCTTGTCACTTCGATGGAAGCGGACGTTGAATAAAGCTATTTCACACATATATGGCAATGCATACTCTTTTATTTCCTAATAGTTCATGATACATGTATCTGACGAAACTTTTCCTTTAGTAGACAAAGATTTTAAAAAGTTACTATTTCTAGCACACAATTTACAAAAGACATGGCTGACAACCGCTTTTTGTTTTATGTGGTTGAATTCTTCTTTATATCCAAACGAATTCTGTAATTCGTCTTCCCATGACAAGAACCTTGCAAGGGAAACTGGGTTTCCCTTTGCCATCGTTGGCGTGCTGAGGGGATTCGGGTAAAGCTTAGAAAGGTAAAAGAACAGGCAAAACAATTTCAATCCCATCAATTTGCAGAAAAGATGCGGGATCGAAAGAATTGCTATAGAAACGACAACATCCACTCAATTTTTGATTATTCAGACACGGCAAAAGAACATCGACTTAAAAAACGCCTGGCAGTACGCGTCTCAAAGTATTTTTAGTAACAACAGGTGGCACTGGAAAGACACGCCGTGTGCGCAATAGTGCATCAATATGAAGGCATACAAATTGTTTACGGCTTTTTTTATTACGATATTCCATTATTTCTGATTAAATTATTTTTTATATTTGCGCGAGTACTTAATCACTCGCGTAAATTTGGTTTTACGCGAGCGTAGCGTGCGCGCGGGTAATTACTCGCGTCTCGTGGCAAGCCCTGATAAAGAAGATCTACGGTGTTCGACATTATAACCTAATCGTATCACAAACGTTTATCCATCGAATAAATTATATTCAGATTTCATATCAAGTCAATTAAATGTTGTTTAAACGCCAATCAACTAAAATAATACGAGGCTACTTGATTACAAAAACACCGGTGAGCAATAATTATTGGGTTAAAAATAAATATAAACAACTGATAAGTAAAACTTAATTATTTTATACAATTAATGTGTGTGTGTACGATTCTACCATGAGGTACGATGAGGTATTACGCACACATTCCACCTAGAGTGATGTCTTTGATCTGGCTCGCGTAAAAAAGATAATTACCTAATCAACATTCTTAATCCCACTAACACACACTGCAAACACTGAGGTGTAAATTAATTTATGACCCATGTCTGTAAAACTTTTATAGTCAGATTGATTAATTAATGACAACACTTGCCATATTATTATCAATACACAAAGATAGTTAGATGACCCTTCTCAATCTGTTATTCCATTTAGATGGTTACCAACAAAATTTATTTGTACTGTTAATTCTAACGTATTATTGAGATATTTTTTCGTATTTCATTTTTACGGCCTATTTCAGAGTAATGAAGTCAAATCCGTATGCAGAAACGGAACGTCATTTACAAATCGCGTTTCAATCATGTTTGACTTTTATGATACATTTTGCATCACCACATCTTTTTACTCCTGTACTCTTTTTACTTTGGGACATTAGAACCACAATACTCTTCTGATGAAAATGTATCTCGAATCGTTTGGACTGCACATGTTGGTAGAGGGTATTAATCACTGTCGTGAGAAAAGAGAGCGACCGTACATTCTATGTTGTTGTTGTTTATTACAAATTTAACGTCCAATACATTGAATATGATATTATGGACAGGTTGATTGAATTAAATTATTTACACTTGAAAATTGTTAAAAACACAAAATAAAAAGGCCCTCGGATACCAAAAGATCCTTAAAGCACACTTATAAATTCACTGTCGTGAGAAGAGAGGGCGGGTCATCTTCTCCCTTTGTCATAATAAAGTTAAAACAGGAGGTCCAATTGACTGATGTTTGGCGTCATCAGAGCGGGTAGAAAAAGATAGGTTGCCAGGCAACGAAACATACGCCCACAGCAGCTAAATCGTCCGGGCAGTCAACAAGAGTTGTCGCATATTTTTACTTTTTTCGGTAATGAAACATTTATAATAGACGAAAATCTGATTAAGAGCAACAACTCACGAAGTAATTGTCAGAAAAGTATTAGAATTTGTTTGGTTTTTATAAAGTTCTGCCCCATGCTAACGTTTTGTATACAAAACTTTTAATATCATGGATTTAAATGTTTAAGTCATAAAAATTCATTGAAAATCAATATACTTGTTCGGCTCAAGATCTTAAAGTCTGTGTATCAATCTGAAGTCAATCGGATGATAACTTTAGCCTTTAGAGCGTCACAAGATTTTGCAAAGTGATCAAGGGCCATAACTTTGGCAGTAATTATCGGAAATCGTTGAAAATCAATAGGAATCTTCGTCTCATGACCTCAAACACTGTGTATCAATTTAAAGTCAATCGGATATTAACTTTAGCCTCTAGAGCATCCATAAGATTTTTTGAAGTGATCAAGGGCCATAACTCTGGCAGTAATTATTGGAAATCGTTGAAAATCAATAGGCTTCTTCGGCAGTAATTATCAGAAATCGTTGAAAATCAATAGGCTTCTTCGTCTCATGACCTTTAACACTGTGTATAAATTGAAAGTCAATCGGATATTACATGTAACTTTGGCCTTTTAGAGCGTCCACAAGATTTTTCAAAGTGATCAAGGGCCATAACTTTGGCAGTAATTATCGGAAATCGTTGAAAATCAATAGGAATCTTCGTCTCATGACCTCAAACACTGTGTATAAATTTAAAGTCAATCGGATATTAACTTTAGCCTCTAAAGCATCCATAAGATTTTTTGAAGTGCTCAAGGGCCATAACTCTGGCAGAAATTATCGGAAATCGCTGAAAATCAATAGTCTTCTTCGTCTCATGACCTTAAACACTGTGTATAAATTGAAAGTCAATCGGATATTAACTTTGGCCTCTAGACCGTCCACAAGATTTTTCAAAGTGATCAAGGGCCATAACTCTGGCAGCAAATATCGGAATTCGCTGAAAATCAACAGGCTTCTTCGTCTTATGACCTTCAACATTGTGTATAAATTTAACGTCAATCAGATATTAACTTTAGCCTCTAGCTTGTGGACGCCGGACATTGAAATGTGGTTGTATAAAAACCCGTGGGGAAAAAGAATCCGCTGGCTTTATGTGGAAAAGCGAAGTGCTCGTTGTAAAAACCACATAGCTGGACCTGTAGATTATTTACATATTAAAAGTGTTCGTCCAATAAGTTCCATATTGTTAAAAAATTAATTAAGAGTTCAAGACTTCAAAGTTTAAAAGTTGTAAGCATTCTAAATTGGATCTTAAATTAAAATGAATTACAAAACAAATTATTCCATAGTCAATTGTTTTATTTAATTAAAGATACATTATGGGAGATTTTAATCGAGAGTTGGCCATTCTTGCTATAACAGTTCAAAAATAGATGAAGAAAGAAGAATATATTGAAAATTTCAGTCAAATTACTTTATTCTGAACAAAGTTATCACCATTGTAATTTTTGACTAAAAATAGGAGTCAACTCTCTCTTCATCTCCGAGAATGGCCGATCGTTTGATTGACAGGCGTTAACTCCACCTACATATTCTTGATTATCAAGTAACGTTTTCAATGGCTGTGGTACCGTTAGCATATTCGGTTTGAGACAGGGTTGCAATTCAATTCATATCACATTTATTTTTACTACAAATTAAAAATAAGACTTTTAATATATAGATAAGAACCAAAAGTTTGAAAGGAATGGACCAAATCAATGAGGCATAATTATAGCCGACTTCTTGTTAGCCTGCGTGTACTCTTGTACTGTAGCTGGTAGGCCTACGTAACTCCCGAAGCAGACAAATAGGAAACAGTGATCCAATGGGGCTGCAATTCAACTGGGGTGATGTTAGCTGCGATGTTTATCAATTTCCATAATTTTTCTGTAAACGCAAGTGACAAAAGAGCGTATAATACCGACATCCAAACTCTCATTTTAACCACAACTAAACATAATATCAAGGCCGTATATATCGAACTTTCAATCAAATTGACTGACAAGCGGCCTCGCTTCGTACACTCTATCATTTAGCCTCGATCTAAAATTTCCTGGAGTATGACATCAACGTAGCGGTTAATCTCCACTTACGACGCCATTTAAAAATTTAATCAATCAATGAAATCCTGTTTAAATCCAAGCCATCCGTGGGTCTACAGAGTTAATTTTGTGCTTGTTGTGTAAATAAAGATCTAATTTATAATTTCTATGACATCTGAAGCCTATATAAATAATCAGATTTAGCTCTTGCATAATGTATGTTTTATTAGGGGGATTAAGGAATCAGTCTGGCGTTAAAGAATACACACGCCGGCTGTATATAGGTAATTAAGGAATAAACATTCCGAATATGCATTTGGTCACTATGACGTCACTGGCGTCTGAGTGTTTTCGATAATTGGCAAAGTTGTTTTTACGGGAGGTCTATTTTTACGACTTTGAGTGACGATAGCTGAATTAATTTCAACCAGATTGGCATGAACTTGCCGTGAAGTGGATATAGTAACCACTGGCTACAAGTATTTAAAAGTTTTTTCGTCCATCTTATGTGCACTTTTAAATCACCACAACATTATACAGCCAAGTGGTCATGGTTGACTAAAGTCAACCACAGCAAGAACCTTTTTTATAAGCCACATTTGAGTATTTAGTTTCGTATTTAATTGATATGGCCACGCATGCGAGTCAGACAGGAACTTGTCTTGTCAAGCACATTGAGAAAAACATGCCTTTGTTCAACATTTTTTGATGAAAAACGTAATTTAACGATGTCAGGAAGGTTAAAGACACTCGAAGTGGTTGAAATACTTATGAATTATTCCGACTCGGATTATATCGATGACACCGATTCTGAAGACGATATTTCTGATGAAAAGGATTTAGAATGATTTGCAAATTATAGATCAACTTATCCCCTTTAACTTTTTTATTGGCAGTAGTCGATTGAAATAGGCATACAAAATATTTCACGTCAGTCTTTATTTAGCCTGACCACTTGACGTCATGATGTCAAAATGACATCAACCGGTTAAGGGTTAAACATTACCAAAGTAAAATTGTTCTGTGTTGTTGTACAAGGAAGTAACAAGGCAGAATATTGTTCGACCATCCCCATAGAATTGCCCTTTTGTCATTCGGGCGTTCAAAGGTTCAACAAAGTAACACAATTGCCATAACTCTGAAATTCAATAGGCTTCACCGTTTCACTAATTTAAATGATGCATATAAATTTCATACAGATCGGATAACTTTTGGCATTCGAGCGTTCACAAGGTTCAACAAAGTAAAACAATGGCCATAACTCTAGAAGTAATTAACAGAAATTGCTGAAATTAAATAGGCTTCTCCGTTTTACTAATTCAAATAATGCATATAAATTTCATACAGATCGAATGATAAGTTTGTTGTTTGAGCATTCACAAGGGGCAACAAGGTGAAACAAGTGCCATAACTCTGGAAGAAATCCATGGAAATTATTAAAATTAAATGGGATTCTTTATCTCACTTAATGTAAACAACACATATCAATTTCAAAACAATCAGATGATAAGTGTAGTCTGTAGAATGTTCACAAAAAATTGTGGATGACGGACGAACAGGGGCGATGACAATATACAACCACATTTCAATATGGGTGTATAAAAATCATGCCTTGTTTTTAGTTGTCAATTTCAATTTGTACATGATATAGTTTATTATATCAACGTAATGAAAACGTAATGCTGCCACTTTGATAAAATCATACTTTACCTTCACCATTATTGGTAGTGGCAGGTTCTGAAGTTGATTCCAGTGGAGTTAAGTCTTCTAAACTTTTCAAGTTTTCTTCTTTTAATTCCTCCTCTATCTTATCTACTTCTTTCACTTTTCGTTGATAGACACTTTCTAAAGTTTTTAAATCGTTATCTACACTTTGTAATTCTCTTTCTATCGTATCACAGTCTTTTTGTTTAATAGCCTGTTTTTCTTTTAATTGATTGATTTCCACCTTGAATCCTTGCTCTTCTTCGTAAACCTTCTTTTCAGAATTTTTAATCTCATTTTTGATGTCTGCAATATTTTTATTAAGCTGTGTTTCTTTAAATCGATTGTCATTGATCTGTTTTTCACAAATTAGTCTTTTGCTTTTCAATTGAGAAATTTGTAACTGGAGGTCTTGTTCTTGTTTCTGAGAATTCACAAGTTTTTCCTCCATTGAAACAGATTCTAATTGTATAACTTCTGATTCCTCTTCCCTCTGTCTCTGTTCCAACATTAATAATTCAGTCGTTATTTTCTGCAATTGTTCTTCATATTCTTTTTCTTTTTCTTCTAATGTCACAATTTCTGAAAATAGAATTTTAAAATTGCAGTAAAGGATGTAAGCGGTCACTCGGTTAGGTTGCACTGTTGAACCGGTTAAAAAAATTATTAATCAGTATTAGTTTTCATATGATACCTGACCTTCAAACCCGCTCAAGCATTAAATAGCCTCAACTGATCGACAAATTAATTGTTTTACAGTATATACATGTATTAACCTCATCACTCCATGAACAAGATCTCAAAAGGATACAAGTTTGATGTGATGAAATAAATTTGTTTATATTTGTGAGTAAATCTGTTTATATTATCACTCCAGCGCCTGATACTGTGCCGATCAGGTCAAAGTTGACGACATACAGGTCAATGGTACCATACGAAACAGCATGGCATGTGATAGAAACATGTGTAGTAAATTCTTTGGAATTAGCCGATGTTGAGTAATCAAACTTATTTTGTATTAAACCAGCGGCTGCCAGGCAAGATACAGCCACATTTTGCAAGAGATGGATAGAGAACAAGTTCAAAAAAGTGTTTTTTCATACAACCAAGGGCCATAATTCAGGAAGTTATGATCCAATATGTGCGAATATTGAAAGGAACCAAGATTTTTGGGTTATAAACATGTATTTCAAGTTTCATCAAAATCGGACAAAACTGTGGCCTCTAGAGGGTCCACAACCTTGATATACCATATATTTACACTATTTGTGTACAAGGGGCGACCATTTTGTCCGGCAGTTTTGGTTCGGCAGTTTCGAACTCAACCATCATTAGGGTGTTTCGAACTCAACCATCATTAGGGTGTAACAGTGATATATTCAAACGTTGTTTTAAATCGGATAAAAATTGTGACCTCTAGAGGGATCACAAGCTAAAAACGTGATTTTTCGTAAACAATCAGGGGCAATAATTCAGGAAGTTACCATCGATATGCGCAAATATCAAAAGGAACCAAGATCTTTGGGTTATAAACATGTATTTTAAGTTTCATCAAAATCAGATCAAAATTGTGACCTCTAAAGTGTCCATAAGCTAAAAACGTGACTTTACGTAAAATCAGGGGCCATAATCGATGAACTTATTGTCCAATACATAGCAATATCGAAAGGAACCAAGGTCTTTGGGAGATACACCTATATTTCAAGTTTCATCAAAATTGGATAAAAATTGTGACCACAAACAAAATGTGGACGGACGGGGACGATGGCATAATACTTCCACATGAAAATGTGGGTGTATAAAAATGAAAATTTTGAAAATTCCATCCAACTTTACTTTTTTTCTGAGAGAAGTTATGAATGTTCGAAGTTTTGACAATAATAGTCTAAATACCGTAGTCTCAATTGTCCACAATAATAGACAAAGTCTCAATTTTCAGTTCTTCACTCGGTAGTCTCTGTGAGTGGTGTCCATATTAATGTTTACCAAAGATATGTCAAACGTTGTCTTATCTACACAATATCTTAGTAATCCAATGGATTAGAGAGTTGATTATGGGCTTGTCATGTGAGAGAGAGAGAGAGAGAAATGGGGTTTAACGTCCACTCGACACAAACTAGGTCATTTCGGGACTAACATATGGTTTAATTTTTTATTTACATAATACGCTTGCGCGTAGCTTTTCATGTGAATAAATATAACTTCATTTGTGGCCAGAAAAAGACCAGCAACAGCAGATTTAGCTCTTACATAATTTATACATACCTGTATTTACATGATCTATCTGAGATTCTTGTGTTTTGAGACGATCTTGTTGAGCAGTCACCAATCTCACTAATCTGGCATGTTCAGGATCAAGCCCTATTTCTACATTGTGATCTAACATATATTCTGTATGAACAGATGGCAGATCAGTTCTATTAGAATCACGTAAGATATCAGGAAAATTCCTGTCCAAATCGTACTCCTCAATTTCTAGACTAGAAGCATGTGAATGATTTCCATCTTCTAATGTATGTTCAATGGCGACCAAATCATCAATCCGATGTCGGGGGCTCCGACTACGTCCAATACTGTTTCTAACACCAAATGGTGCATTATTTATATCACTTTGATCCGGCACAAAGTGCTCATGATTAGAATAATGGTGCTGTTTAGCGAAACCATTTTGAATATTATGGTTTGGAAAAGGACGATTGGGTAAAGGATGCGCTATATTATAGGAAGATTTACTTGCAACTGGAGTATTGTTTTGAATATTCCTTGCTGAGGTTAAGTCTAAAGGCGAGACTGTTCGATTTGATGATGATGTACACCTTGGCGAAGGAACTGGTCGTGTAAAACTAGAAGAATGAGGGAGGGGATGTAAGCCTTCTGAATGATTATTCTCTGTGATTGATTGTAATCTTGATACACGTTTCTCATGATGTGATTTAGGGGTGGGATTTAAATTACGAGCACCACTGAAAGTTGATGATCTTTTGATCGAGCTTGAAGTTTCTGCTGACTGTTCTGGAGGAGAAAAGCTATGAGAGAATTTATCCACAGTCTTGCTTTGTTTGTTGCAGCTCCCTTTTTTCTTTTCTGAATCCGACTGACACAGATGAAGTTTCACCTCTGATGCATATTCCCCCCATTTTTGTAAAGCTAAAGCTGGAAAATCATGTGGTGGTAATGGTCTCTCGATATCACGCCATTTCTCAACTAACGTGAACCTTCCTATCTGACCCATAGCATTGGCCAAGGCAATGATGACATCATGACATGTCGTCTCATTCGTCACACCACAGATAATTCTTTGTATTCCATCTACCCAAACTTTTAACTCCATGATGTGTTTATCAAAATCCACATCACAAAAAGTATCTTTTAACTACGATTTATCCTACATACTGAATTACCCTGTTTCACGTGGTTGTCAAGGCAATGTAAACAACTAATTTTTAAAAGTGTGACATAAGCAATTTCGGAAACCTGCTTGATAAATATCACTTTCCAATCAACAAATTAAAGTATCCCACAAACTCAGTGATCAATATTATATTCCTCTTTCATCAATAGCCTAACACCACACAATCGACATGTATATAGATATAGATATCTAATTATATTTAAATTATATCTACATATCTAATTGTATTTAATTAATCTACTACTTGTATATTGTTATGCTTTTGTATACCTCATATGTCAGATATCAATACATATCTATAATAGTGTCCTATCATCTTCAATATAGTTGTTCAATACTATTCTTGGTGTGAACTGCTTTATGTTTAATAGATAATGAACATTGGTGGAGTTACAGATTAATCCTATGTGATACTACATGTATATCTGAAAGTAAAATGGATGGTTAGAACTGTATTAGACAGAAAATAGTCAAATATTGTAATATAATCTTACAAAGATAGGTTGCCAGGCAACGAACCATACGTCCACAGCAGCTAAATCGTCCAGGCAGTCAACAAGTGTTGAACTGTTGCATATTTTTACTTTTTTCGGTAATGAAACATTTATAATACACTAAAATCTGATTAAGAGTAACAACTCATAAAGTAATAATCAGAAAACCATTAGAATTTGTTTGGTTTTTATAAAGTTCTGCCCAATGCTAACGTTTAGTATACAAAACTTTTAATATCATGGATTTAGCTGTTCAAGTCATCAAAATTTACTTGTTCGTATCAAGATCTTAAACTCTGTGTATCAATCTGAAGTCAATCGGATGATAACTTTAGCCTTTAGTAGAGCGTCACAAGATTTTTCAAAGTGATCAAGGGCCATAACTTTGGCAGTAATTATCGGAAATCTTTGAAAATCAATAGGATTCTTCGTCTCATCACCTCAGACACTTTAGCCTCTAGAGCATCCACAAGATTTTTCAAAGTGATCAAAGGCCATAACTCTGACAGTAATTATTGAAAATCACTGAAAATCGATAGACTTCTTTGTCTCATGACCTTACACACTGTGTATAAATTTAAAGTCAATTGGATATTAACTTTAGCCTCTAGAGCGTCCACAAGATTTTTTGAAGTGATCAGGAACCATAACTCTGGCAGTAATTATTGGAAATCACTGAAAATCAATAGGTTTCTTCCCCTCATGACCTTAAACACTGTGTCTAAATTTAAAGTCAATTGGATATTAACTTTAGTCTCTAGAGCATAGGTTCCCAACCTTTTATGGGTGGCGACCCCATTCCAGACCCAGGATCAGATCGCGACCCCTCGAAGAACAAAGTCACATTTTATTATGAAACATCATTATCATTCACTTTTATTATTGTTTGCTTATTAAAATTCTGATAACAAATTATTGATTTTTTTAATCAGTGTGATGGTTGCGCCTGTTTTTCAGCGACCAGGTTTTCAATGCGTGGCTCAACGCCACTCAGCGCGACAATCATGTCCCTTTCTATTTCAAGCCGGTTGCTAAATTTTGTTTTTATCACAACCATTGTATTGTAGAAAACGACTGTTCGCATAGGTATGACGAAGGGTACGGCATAAGGAGCCGTGTTGCATTCTTGGATAGACGTGGATAGGATTCAAGCATTTTGCACCAGTAACTGGACAAATTAAATGAAATGGTGTTTAACGTCCTACTGTTCTGCTCCGAACTGGCCTAATGAAGACGGGCATACGCCATACAGTGTGCTATGAGGGAAATTTTGCCTACTCTTATATCGAATTCCAACTGTCAAGGGATCTTTTATGTGCACGCCAATGTGTACACCGGACCTCGGTTTTTCGTCCCATCCGAACGACTAGACAGCTTTCCTTGTCAGGCCCTCCGTCCTGCATCACTGACAAGGGGAAACCACGACGGAAAATCTGGATGAACTTTCTCGGCCAATGCAGGGATCGAATACCCAACCTTCAGACTAGCGAGCCAGCGTCTTACCCACTTAGCCACGTGATCCCCCGTAACTGGACAAAGGCAAGGACTTGTACAGTGATTTAGCTCCGGTATCCTGCTGCAGTCTCACGAGCTCCTCTTGAGCGATATCATCGTCAGTGATAGCGTCTAATGGTGCACTGTATGTGTCTCGGACCACGGTGAATGACTGGACGTCGAGCTCGGAGAAGTAGTGTTCGAACTGATCGATCAGTGACTGAAGATGTTCAATGAATAGATAAGTTTACAGCCGTTAAAGGTTTTGTTTTCAGTTGAAAAACTCGCGGAAAACAATCTAAACTGTTTTAGAGACTAGAGAAGTATTTATTTGCACGAAAATTGGCAGCGGCAACTTTGCAACTCGATTATCACAGGTAGATATTTCAGTTGGAAAGCGCAAGACTTGGTATTCGCCGTGATGATATTTTCTATCGAGGAATCTGAGAGGTCTAGAGCTGGGTCCTTGACCAATCGAAATTAGTGACGAAAAATGTAGATTGTAGAGTGTTACGTGAAGGCCTTGATAAGATGTACGGAGTTAAAGCGAAATCAAGCCTTCTATTGAAGATGTATAGATAAATTACATGAAAAGATAGCATTTTTTTTAAAGTTCTCGGACTAGTCCGCGACCCCACGAAAAGTGCTCGCAACCCAGAGGTTGGGAAACACGCTCTAGAGCGTACACAAGATTTTTTGAAGTGATCAAGGGCCATAACCAGTGCTTCACATTTGAAAAAAAATAGAGGAGCCATAAAAAGCTCTTCTAAAATTACAACAGCTGAAAATCGCTCCTGCAAAAATAGCACTTCTCAACTCAGGAGCAATCCATTATTTAGAAGGACCATTCATGTATTTCATACCATACTTTGACCATAGATGAAGCCATTTATTGACCATTAATACTTAGAAAATAAAGATATGGGTTTCGATATTTATTAGAATAAATAAAAAGAAAAATGAAATTTCAGTATCAATCTTTCACTCCTATACTGACTTGATGCAATCTGGATAAAACACAGATCCTATTTCCTTTTTATAGTTCAAAATTTCGTTTTACTTGTCTTTACTACACTTGGATCTGGTAGACTTGTTATTTAACTCGTGTTCTGCTTGTCTATTCATTTAGGTGGTAATGAAATCGTTGCGACATAGTCACCTGTGGATGTACACCGTAGAATACTTAGATTTAGAATTTGACGATATTCGAAGAATCGATGAAATTTTGACAAGAGGGGGTTTTTCAGGGTTATAGACTGGTTTGGAACCGGAATCATTTAAAAAACAATGAAGTCATCAAAAGACAGATATAAAGATAAATTTGTGTGCTTTCCTGACATATTATACCCAAATGATTTTTTACAGGAACGCGTGCACTTGTAGACAGCGTGTTATCATACTAAAATCACCAGGATGAAGAAATAATTATAGTATAACTATAAGAAGACTTTTCAGTAGGCCACAAGACCGTTAAATTAACATTTTTAAATCAACCGCTAAAATATTATTTTATTTGGACGTTTGGCTGTTTATTTTATAAACTGATTTTATTTTAATGCATTTTTAAATATTTGTTAACTTCTTTTTAAAACACTTTTTTGTCTTGGAAACAAACTGCAAAGCCCAACAAAATGATTACTCTGAGTAGCAATCTAAAATCTATTTGTCGATTGTAAAGGGAGATAACTGCGTAAATATTTTAATTTTCTGTAAATTATCGAATATTCGTTGCAATTATTTTACTGATGTGCTGTTAAATATATTGACGATATTAGGTTTGTATTTTATAATATTGGGTAGTATTTAGTAGTATTTGATAAGTATTTGGTAGTATTGGGTTATTTTTGCTTGATTTGGGTGATATAGGGAGGCAAATGGAACAGCCAGACATCGGTAATCACATTCGAAGTACATTTCCCACGATATATCTCACTATTTTTGAAAAAAATCAATTAATACATGTATGCTCATTAGACACCATTATGTTGTAGTATTGGTTAGTATGACTAGTATGTGGTGACATTGGACTTGGAGTGGTATTCGGGTGGTATTGTGTAGTATTGACTATTGGGCAAATCGTCCCGCGCTTCTGACGGGTCCACAAACTTTCTTACAAATTTGACATTTTGCGTTAAAGACAATGGGCATAACTCCAGAATGGAAAGTCCGAATCGTGCCAAAAATTGAACTCATCCAACATCTTATGATTCTTAACATATAAAATTGTGACCTCTAGAGAGTCCATTAGCTAAAAACGTGATTTTTCGTACAATTAGGGGACATAATTCATGCCAATATCAAAAGGAAACAAGATCTTTGGGATATAATTTAAACAATTTTGAGTTTCATCAAAATCAGATAAAAATTGTGACCTCTAGGGGGTCCACAGCCTTGGCATTACAAATGAAATGAAATGAAATCGAGTGTAATGTCTTGCTGTTCTGCTCCGAACTGGGCTAATGAAGACGGGCATACGCCATACAGTGTGCTATGAGGGAAATTTTGCCTGGACAGCGGCACTACGGCCTACTCTTATATCAAATTTGAACTGTCAAGGGATCTTTTACGTGCACGCCAATGTGTCCATGGGACCTTGTTTTTTTGTCCCATCCAAACAACTAGACAGCTGTCCCTGTCAGGCCCTCCCGTCCTGCATCACTGACAAGGGGGAATCACGCCGGAAAATCTGGATGAACTTTCTTGGCCAATGCAAGGATCGAACACCCGATCTCAAGGCTAGCGAGCGAGCGTCTTACCCACTTAGCCACCATGACCCCCTTGGTATTACAAGCTTTTACACGAAATTCAACCTCAACAATAATTATGGTTTAACGGCGATATATTCTAAACTCAAATAACATTAACAAGCGGTTGCCATGCAAGATACACCCACATTTTGCAAGAAATGGACAGAGAACAAGTATTACATACTTTTATACTATTTGCATACAAGGAGCAGCCATTTTGTTGGGCAGTTTCAGTCTGATTTACACGAAATTGGACCCCAACCATCATTAGGGTGTAACCCTGATATATTTAAACGGTTTTTAAAATTGGATAAATATTGTGACTTTTAGAGGGTCCACAAACTAAAACCGCTATTTTTCTAATAATCAAGAGCCATAATCCAAGAAGTTACATTCCAAAATGGGCAATTCCCATGGGTAACGGACGTACATTTTGAACTCGCCATATTTTTATTACTTCCAATATTTTCTAACCATGAATAATTAACTGTTTGAGTTTTATATAGCATTAAAGACATACACTGTATGATTTAAGTATCAATTGACATATAATTTAATTTGTTCATGAACACTGGAAATAAATATTGGCTCCTCAAAGTATAGGTAACGGAAGTACAGAAATGAACACCATGATTTGCCTGCATGAACATAGTTTCAAAACTCTGTGAATTGTCTTGAGGAATTTAAAAG